TTGAGTGACGTCTTAACAGATACATTACAATTGCATTTCTAAACAACTGTTCTTTAAAAGCATTCTAAATGCAGGTGCAATTTTTTTTAAAAAAATTGAAACTTCAATCATTACATACAGTATTGGCAATAGAACGATGAACATAACTCAGTTCGAGTGGCAGTATAAACGGGGTATAATTATAAAGGATTATACAGTTTGGTATTTCAGATTGTGGGCGTTGGCCGTATTATGGGGGTGGCCGCATTAACGCGGTTTTCCTATTAGAAACTGTATGAGCGTTTCGCCGGGAAAAAAACAGTGGCCGTAATAACGAGGTGACCGTAAGGCGGGGTTCCCTTGTACAGTCAACCTCCCTCAAGATGATCACCCATTTGTCCAATGCTTTATAAATATATCTCAGTAATCCAGCCCGACAGCCGTATTGGAAGAATATCGGCGCTAGCTTTTGACTGCTTGGGCATGGTGCAACAAGGTCTGAGAAGTGGAAAGAAAATTAGTGCCTTCTTTAGCTTGCGCTCGTCACACGAAACCCACATTAGGGCCGTTTGAAATGCTCTTACGAACTCGGCTAAGTCAAGGAATAATCAAATACTGTTAACAGTCGAGTGAGAGACTAGCTGCTCTAACCTTTCTCCACTGTCTCCAAGTTCTACGTAATAAAATATTTTTACACAATGCTTCTGCTGCCTCCAGTCTCTCTTCATTTACTCTTCTAGTAAACTCCAACCAAGGATGGAAACAGCATTTTAGTAACACTCTGTTATGATGTAACGCAGCACGTGACATGTTCTCCCGCGTCGTCTCCACTACACGTCTCCATGGCAACATACCAAACTTTTTGAGAAGGGTGCATGCGTAGTGTTGGGTTGCCATGGCGACCTGCTGGCGATTGTGTTCTAAATGACGCTGTTTCTCGAGCTCTCGCTATAAAAAGAAAACAAAACTGAAAGTTGATCAAAAGTTAAATTTTCCTTACTGATCATTAAAAAATAACCAATGATGGTTCTGAGAATCTGCTAGTACATCAAGACTGTGTCCTTCAGTTGACGATTCTCTTGATATTATGAGTGGAATAAAGCTGTTTTCATCGTGCATGTTCCTTACCTCTCTAGCCGCGCGTTTCTCTTCTTTTCTCTTACGCAGCACTTCTTGTTTTTCCGCCAACAGTTCTGTTTCTTTACGTTCCTGCTCCTTCTTGAGGAATTCCTGCCACATGTACATTATATTAGTTACAAAAATGATGAAGGCTAAGGACACAATAGGCTTGACGAGAGCCACACAACTGTCACTTGGTCACTTTTTAATATATTAGCTGTGGAAAAGGCATCTTCAACGTAACTTTGCTTGAATTTGGGGACTGGCAGATTATAGTTTCTAAAATAAATCACTATGCTGTAAGTAAGCAAACCAAAACAAAATTATTATCGGCCAGGAATAGCGTCATTGAAGGAAACTTAGAAACGAGACAAAATACATTAAATTTGACCATATGGGGCCGAGAAATAAACAAATTCGCCGAAAATGTTTGCGCGTATAACCGCGCATTAGAAATAAAATAGGCCAAAAAAATGCTGCAAAAAACAGGAGCAGAGGATGCTCACATACCAACTTTTCTTCCTCAGCTTTCCTCTTCTTTTCATCTAAAGCTTTCTTTCGTTCCAAGCGTTGTTGAGCGCGTGCCTCCATAGCTAAAAATAACAACACAAAGTCACTCGTTTTGCTTGAGTACTACTTCACATGTAGTCCGTCACAAAACTTTCAGGATGGACTGCTAGTGAAAAACTATGGCCATCTCTACCCAGTGCAAAGTCGTACAACAGAGATTCTCCAGGCCCCATTTATCGAGCACACATACTCTAAAGTGTATGAATCGCAAAACTTCCCCAATTCCTCATCTTTTGAAGCCACCCA